CCTTCCCCCCCCCCCCCCCTACCAAAAAAAAAAAAAAAAAAAAAAAAAAGGCTACCTAACCAACCTTGAGGCTAGAACATAACTCCTCACCACATTCCTCACACAAACTCACAGAGGCAACATCCAACCAACAAGAGAGTAACGACCCTTCCCCTCTCCAACCACGTTGTTAATCAGCCGTCAGTCGTTCGGTCCATAATCCTCCCCTTCTTCTCCTTCCTCCTCCGATTTTTTCGCTTTTACTTCCCGTCCCTCTTTCGACATCATCCCGCGACTTCGGGGTAAATGGTCCACCACCCATCTCCAACCACGGTCTCCCTCGCCCAGAAGCTACCGTTCCCCGTCTTGACGTTCTTCTTGTTTTGGGCCTCTGAATGTTTGGTCGTTTGCTGGCCCCGTCCCGCGTCCATCCCGCTAGTCTCTTTGTTTGCTTTTTTCTACCTCGTTTCCCACTCGATTTTTCTGCTCGATCCAACTCCTCTCTCTGGACTCTGGAGAATCCCGCCGTTACGTTCCACCCTTTTTACACTTAAACTTTGGACTCTTTGGCAATATCCATTTGCCAGTATTGAAATCTCGAAGTCTCCGCAAATTCCGACGTCTATCTATAATTCTGAAGTGCACGTGGGTGTGATTGGATATGGATGCATACTGAACATACTCCTTCTACCGTACATGCATTCCCAAGTTGTATGTGATCCAACACGGAAGAGTATTTTGTTAATAAATATATGAACGGACTCTTGTCATCTTGGCATCATCAGCTCTTTTGCCCCCAACCACTCACTCTCCTTCACGCTACCTTCACTTGACTGGCCTTGCTTCCAACTTTGTTAAGTATTTATCTCTAACTTTTAGCAGGAGGGAATCTAGACAGCCTGAGGGATCTTTTCCCCCATGAACTATTAGCTGTGCTGCCTCCGCAACGCAACCCACTCCGGAGTCCCACCTCGAACTAAGTTCGTAAAAAGCAAGCAACCTTACATGCTCCCCCCCGCGAATAACATCACGAATTTAAAATAATATCCATATAACCGTCGAACCTCTACTCAGAGTTCTCAGTATCACACAGTCCTTTCCGGCCTTGTGCTCATATCCAGCTTTTCTTACGTACAGCGGTTTACTGGGTATCAAGCAAACCACCATCAAGTCGTTTCCTTGATGGTTTGTAGTGTTTGTGCAACACCACATCCCAGAGGCAATCAACATTTGTTCCAATACGACCTCATTAAAACCAGGACGAGATATAAGTCTGCTGGCCAATCTTCTAGAGCCAACCAATACACTCGAAGCTGCCGTTTATTCATTGTCCTTTGTAAGGGAATGAACTCATCGGTTGAAGTGATGTTTATTTTATTTTAATTTTTAATTTTTAATTTTTTTTTTCTTTTTTGGCAGGCGATAAGTGCGTTTTCTAACCGTATATGTTTTTGATTAGCTGTGGCATGATGCGGTGTCCGAAACGATTAAAGGAACGGTTTTTTCGATAACGAGCTGGGTAGGCTCCCTTTCATATCTCGCTCTTGTCCACCAATTTTCCCTCCCTCCGTACCCCAAGAGGGTGCCACCCTCCCAAGACCGTAACAATGTTACCATCTGTGGCACAGCAGTCACACCATTTTCTACATCACCATCTTGACCATCAACCGCCTTTCGACTGGTTGGAACCTCCGTACAATGCGGCCAGCAACGCCTTGCGCTCTGCTTTCCGTCACGGAGAGCAGTGCGGATACCCAGATCAGCAGCAACATTCGTCGATGCTACGTCAACAACGTGTGCAGTTCCCCCGCCCTATCCAGCGACCAACTGCTCATGATCTGACAAGCTCTGCCGTGGTCAGAAATGGAAGCACTGCAGAGAATACGCTGAGGCGGAAAACCCCTAACGGCACCCTGGCCGCTGGATATGACGGGACTTTGGGGGATCAATCAATTCAGCGCCCGGCATTGAAGCACATTTTGGTTTCCCCATTAGAGAATGGCCAGGGTATATCACAACACTCAGGCCTACCAGCAGATTCATGGCAATTCAAGAGTCTCGATATCCTTCCATCATCTCAACTCCAAAGTTTCCCGCCGACATACAAGTTCGACGTAATCACATCCGCTGGCCTTCCTTGTGGCATGTCCCAAAACCACAATGGAGCCAGCTGGATTCAGTCCCTGAACTACCCATCTGGTGTCGATTCATCACTAAACCAAACAGCATCGTTACTTGCGTCCCAAAGGCACTTGTTGCCAAATGGTCCTTCGATTCCCACTATATTAGCTGCGTCAATGCAGTCTAACCTTGGTCCAACTGCGTCTGCGGGCGTTGGTCCCTATGGTCCATACTGGCCTGATGGTGCCTATATCCCCTATCGACCTGCGGCTTCTCGTGATTCACGGTACCAGTCAACCCCCGCATTTGGTCTTGTCCAAGACAACTCCGCTGCTTTAGCTTCTCTCCAACAGCCTTTTAATAGACAATCTCTCCCTTCGACTGACCTGCTTACACCGGGATTCTCATGGAATCCTGTTCCGGCACAGCCACCACAACGAAATCTCCATCACTTGTATAATTCGGACCCAGCTGCCCTGGAGTCTTTCCCCCCTCGTCTTTCACATCAGAATCAGATAGATACGCTCTGGGACCAGAATAGTGTCCCTTACCATACAAGATCGTTGCAAAATACACGACATGATACTGTACATCAACACCCTCAACAACAGCAACCCCAACCCCAACACCATCAACATCAACATCAACATAAACCAAAACCAACCGAACTAGAAAATCTCAACTGGCAAGCGCCCCAGCAACCTAATGTGTTTCAGGGTTCAGCTGCAGATATTATTTCGAGACCCAAGAATACTGAGTTTAAAGAGAAGATTTTATCATGGGCGCACAGTGTGTATGTCGACCTACTTACGTTACTTCATAATACTCGAAGGAAAAACGCTGCGCTGGGGGTACAAGATAGTGATGCTCGTCCAAAACCGAATATATACCCTAAACCCCCCCGACAACCTGCTTCTGACTTCAGCTCACATGCTGGAAACGTTGACGCTACTCTCGATAATACTCATGGGACTCCCATTCCAAGCCAACATTTCCCTCTAGCCCATGGGCGACAGGTGGGTATGACTCTAGAAAATCAGATCGATGGGAAGCAATTTCCTCCGAACCACTCTGCGGTATCTGATAACAATTTCGTTCGCAACTACCATGTTGACCGCGCTCCTTTCG